TTTCTCTCTCACAAGTAAATAAACATTAAAAAAAATTTTTTTTTTAAAGATTCAGAATATAGTTATACAATAAAGTTGAGTGGGATTTGTATTATAGCAAAAGGCTGGCAGAAGGAAGGACAGGGTCCCTAAGTATTTAAAACAAGCAAAACAAATAATAATTTCTGCTTTTAGTGATACTTGCTCACCATTTTGGATGACAGCAGCTTCCTATTTTAGAAACCATCTCCAAAAGGAATGCTTTCAGCTATTAATAGCAAGCAGAGCTTTGCTGGATGGACAGAGGGAGAACATTTCAGTGTCAGTGGAACTCAGTATTTAACCCTCCTAGATTTTTGCTATTAGTCAGTGGAAGTGGAGCAGATTCTCCAGAGAAAGGGAAGCTATGTTTCATTATGTATGTAGGCCATTCTGGATTTTGAGCATGTCTGGTTCTTTTGCTACATTTTCTATGTGAAGTTTGTATATGAAATTCTTTCCTGAGAGTGACTAAGGGAGACACTTCAGGCTGCTGAGAAACAGGAAGGATAGATGGTAAAGTACTGTGAGTCAAGCTAAAAAAGGTAAGGCCAGGGGTGCCTGACTGGATCAGTCAGAAGGGCATGCAACTCTTGAATCTCAGGTTCATGAGTTTGAGCCTCACGTTAGGTGTAGAGATTCCTTATAAAAAAAAAAAAAAGTAAGGCCAAAACAGGGGAAGATAATACAACCACCATTCCAGCATTGGAATTTACCATTATCTTTTCATTGGAAGCTTCACGCTAGACTGGGGCTGGGAGATAATAAGCACTATATATTTATATATTTAGTGATTCCATGTATTTAGTGATTCACATTTTTCAGAGTGTTTTGTTGCATAATTTGATCCTCACAAACCTCTTTGAGTTAGGTAGGACAGGCATCATAATCCTCATTTGAGTGACTATTCAATAAACACTAAGACAGGGGCCAGATATCAGGGCTGAAGAAGAGAGTACTACCAGGTTCTCTGCCTGTGGGCTCACCTATAGGAGGAAAGGAAGGCAGAGAAGGAGATGATTATGACACAGCATGGTAAGTGCTGTCAAGGTGGTATGGATGAGATTCTTGGGGAATACAGTGTGTAATCCATCTCCAGGGAGGACTGGACTATTGAGAGGAGAGATGCCTAAATGGAATCTTAAAGGAAAGTAGGACTTGGTGAGACAAAAGGCATACAGACTGAGAGAATAGGTTGTGCAATGACTTGGAAGTTTGATGAAGCCTGCAGAGATTGAGAAAATTGAAGTTCATTTGGTTTAGAGGCAGTAGAGCAGTTTGCTTGTTTAAGAAACAGCAAGAGATGAGCTGGAGAGGGGGGCAGAGGAAAGACTGAATGTCATTGTCCTCACAGGCATTTGGACTTTTAAGATGAAGGCATTAGAGAAACGCTGAAGACTTTGAGGTGAGAAAGGAACAATATCAGATTTGTCTTTTAAAAGATCTTGAGAGGGGGGGCACCTGGGTGGCTCAGTCAGTTGAGCATTTGACTCCTGATCTTGGTTTGGGTCATAATCTCATGGTTCGTGAGATCAAGCCCTGGGTCAGATTCTGCTCTGACAGAGTGGATCCTGCTTAGGATTCTCTCTCTTACTCTCTCTGTGCTTCCCTGCTTGTGCACACATTGTACTCTCTCTTTCTCTGAAAATGAATAAATAAACTAAAAAAAAAAAAGAGATTCTCTCTCTCTCTCTCCCCCTGCCCCT